AATTTGGCTATGCGGTGAATTAAGGAAAACAAAATTTTTGTATTCAATATTAAGAAAATAAAAAGTGCCAATAGATCAATTCAGTAAATAACAAACAGCTTTTAAATGGCCCATCAAACAGCAGAGCTTCCCCTTATATATATATCTACGAAAAACTATTACATTATACAAACAGCTGCGTCGCCAGGGCGAGATAGAGGGCATAACGGTTTTGCCCTGTCCAATATTTAGCATCAAGATGCGAATTTAAATTCAAGTAAGCCCCATAGCTGTTGCTGCTGCCACTATCTGCTGACTTATGCAGTGTGGCCTTTTCTTTCGAGCTGCGACTAAATAATTCCCCCTCTCCCCCTTTCCCATGCTGGCTGCGAATGTTTATCTCTGGCCGGCGCCAACAACTGCAAGACGTAAAATTTTCAATTTGAATAATTTCGCGGGCATATCTGGTGTGGTATTCGCATACCCACTGAAATTGAATCGGAAAGGGGCGTACTACACAGTTGAGGTCCAATTTTGTGATTGACAGCTGACAGCTCACAGATTGCCAAAGAAATTTATTCTGAATTTTAATCAAAACATTCAAAGGTGGGAAATAAAATGAATATAAATATAAATTTTAAACTAAAAATTTTTTTTTTATTTTTTTTTTAAATTGATTTTTATCGCCATATTCTAAATATGTCTTAAATATGTCAAAAATCTTTCGAGTTTATCCCAAACATAACATACAGGGTATCCTCTGCTATAGCACTTTCAAGTAAGGCACTTTTATTTGTTAGATTCTAGTTTGCGCTGCTGTTTGGCTCGCCTCTCTGAGCTGCAGGTCCAGTAAAATAGTTGAATAAATATTAAAAAATATAAAAGATAGCTGCAATATATGCAAGCTGCAGGCTACACGCAAACAATTTACGATCTCAACTCATATAAATACATAAACATATATACATATATACAAAAACACATACACACAGATATTTGTGTTTGCATAAATTAGAGTTTGCTCTGTTGCTTGAGGCAACATATTCCGTATCTGTATCTGTATGTGCAAGTGTATCTGTATCTGCTGTTCGGCTAGGCCATTATATTAGATTTTGCCCCAGGCTGTTTACCAATAAGTCGCACCATTTGCATTGTAGATTTGTGCCGCACTTCTGCCCATTCCACGAAACTGCAGCGTGTAAACAATTTGTTGTATCATGTTTTGGCCATTAGTAAACATTTTGCTGTGTTTATTCTCAAAATTTGCCACCCATTTCCGCCGCAGGCCCACGCACAGTTCTTTCTACACTTTTTTTATGCTCTAGCACAATTTTCACGACAGCTGCCATATGTTGCCCATTGGCTGCGGGATCAATAAATACAAAGTCACTATATTCGCGACATGCATATACATATGTGTGTCTGTGTGTGTGTGTATGTACATGTTTTGTTATGCTGTGTGCCAATTTAAAAAGTAGCTAATTTTATTGTGCGTCTGGCTCGTGCGTTTGCTTTTTATTAACTTTTCCGACACATAATATCTGTGACTTATTGAATTGTGTATATGAATACATATTTAACAGATAGCATTATACTATTACTGCATATATCTAACAACTTTTCAAAATAAACTGTAACCTGAAAAATTCCAATTAGTAAAGTCTTTGATCCCGAAGAGGAGCATACGAACAGAACGAAGCGCACAATGAAACATATGTGCGTATGCAAATGAAATTTGCTTGTCTTTCATGCAAGTGCATTAAAATATAAACATGAAAGAGCTCTTTTCTCTCCAAACAGCCTGCCTGCCGTGCTGCCTCTGTAGAAGACCCTTCTTCAGGCTGGCATCCCACTCTCAGTCTAGGTGGTGGCGACTCAGCTAATGTGTGCATGTGTGTGTGCATTTGTGTGTCGTCTTTGTAATCACTTTATTTTGCATATGTGAGCGCAGTTAAGTGTATAAGCATTCGTGTGTCAGTGCGTGTGTATGACAGTGTACTTTGTAAATAAATTGCAAAAATATTTTAAAGGTTGCCAGAGCGACGTCGCTCTCGTGTCTCAGCTCCAGCTCCAGTCGCTTCCCGAAATGAAATAAAACTAAGGACAGCGGCAGCAGAGCTTGCCAAAGCAGGACAGGGCAAGGCAAGGACAAGGCAGACGAAGGCTGGGGATATCAAGTTGCTCGAGGATTTGTAAAATTTATCGTAGACATCATTATGCGACTATTTCACTAGCTACCGCCCACACTCCTGCATAGCCCCCTCTCGCTCGCTCTTGGGCTGGGCAACAGCAGCTGCAACATGCAACTGACGCTCGATGGCTGAGACGGGGGGGCAGGTGCTGGCATTTTTGCATTTTACGTTTTACATTGGCAAAATTGTTCTTAAAATGCAGAAAGAAAAAAAAGACTACCCTAAATTATTCAAAACATAAGCCATGATATATAATGCGCACAGTGGGGCGAGACTGCGGTGGGCGGGCGATGGCCTGCATGCTTTCAAGTCATTCGCTCCCCTGCAGCACCCTTCAGCTGGAGATGTTTAGCATATATGACATTGTGCGAATTTATTATGCATTATTTTCTCAATATCTAAGCTGAAATGATATTATCTTTCGAGTTAGCTGAGCTTTGAACTGCGATGTGCAATCGGAGCTGGTATTAAATATTCATAAATTGGATTTAGGGTATTACAATGCATTTACAAAGGCTTTCAAATGTGTAGATAAATATTTAAATATTATTAAGCTTAACTTTAAGGCCATGTTATTAGGAGTACACATTCCCTAGGCAAGTAAGCAAATCGATCAGGACGTATTTATTATCCCTCGTGA